GGAGGCGGAGGGGTTGAGGTGCGTGGGGACAGGCTGTATGGGGCTGGGGGAACTTGGGGGGACGGAGGCGATGGCCCTGGGCAAGCTGCTGCCTTACAGCGCCCCCTCCCCCAGTTTATCTGCGCAGTCTGAGCTAGTGAGGCCCAAGAGCCACGGAGCCCTCTGGACCCAGTGTTGGGGGCTCGTCTGCTGTGCTAAGGTGTCACCCCAGAAATTCGGGCCACCCCCTCACTTTTGTACCCCCTGCAGCCGCCTCAGGTTAAGTGCTTCCCCCTTAATTGTCCTGGAACCACCCAGCTCTGCAGTGCAGTTGGGCCCTAACCATGCGGCTGTATTGGGCCACACCCCCCCCAGCCGCAACGCCCTCACTTCATTTCCCGCCTTCCCAGCCCTCTCGCCTGCAGCGCGTGTGCTGGCTAAGGCAGGAGAACTTCACAGCTACCGCCTGACCGGTCACCCACACACCTCCGTGGCACTGGAAGCCAGCAATTGGGCAGCACCAGAGACCGAAAAGAAAAGCCGAGACCCTGCACTTCTGGGTCAAACGTGAACTCCCACAAGAAAGGGGAAAGCGGCGTTTTTCTTTTGCATAATAACGGTTTTAACGCTGTAGGTCTGGGCTCAGTTGCAGACTTTGGAAAGACGCGCTGTGACGTTTTGTTCAGTGTTACTAACTCCCTCCCTTCCCGAGGCGTTGGCAACAGGTTCTACTGTAGCTAATGCTGCTCCTCGTGCTTAACATAGGTGTGGCAGTAGGACCCACTTCCCATAGCTGGTTTAGAGGGTGGCAGGTCTGGGGGGCGCCCCTGGCAGAAGGGGGCAGAGTTGGCTCTGAGGGAAGTTGGTTGGCTGGGGTGTATTCTCGCCCGGCCGTTGTGTGGCTGCGGGCACAGAGCTGTGCCTCGCGTTGGCCACCCTCAGCCGCTGCAGTCCATCCGTGAAGCCTGCTCATGTGTCTCCTTGCAGGCTGCGAGCGTCCCGGGTGCTGCTGGTCGGCATGAAGGGGCTAGGAGCAGAGGTAGCGAAGAACCTCATCTTGGCGGGGGTCAAAGGCTTGACCATGCTAGATCATCAGCAGGTGGGCGCTCCAGGCTTGTCTCCACTCTCGTGCCTGGGAGGATTTCGGAGCGCATGCACCCTTGCAGATGTGTCGTGGAGGCACAGCCGCGACGGAGCGAGCGGAGGGAGGGAGCTCTGTGCTCGGGGGACCCATTAGGGCTGGCTCGCTGCAGGCTGGGGCAAGAAGTACCTCTCCGGGCGCTTCTCTGGTCCCCATTGCGGAGCCTTTTAGACACGCCTCCCAGACACAAACGGATTCTGCTACCCCCAGGCCTGGATCTCTGTTCGAGGAGTCACCGGGCGGACATAGGAAGTGTGTGGCAGGCCTGGAACTCAACCAAGGTCTCCTCTGCCCAGCCCCCGAGTCCCCCCCCCGCCTGTGGACAGCCTGTTGCTTGCTCAGCTGGGTCTCTAGGGAGGTGACTGGTTAACGGAGAAGCCTCATCCTTAAGGGGAGAGACTCAGCGGTTACAGTTAACCAGCGGGGGCTAGCACAGCCCCTGCCCACCCTGTTTAATCGGTTAATTAATTCCCCGTTACGTTTAACCGATTAATGGCTTGAAATGGGATTTGACGTCCCTCTGGGGCACCACGTCACACTCGCATCGCCCCGTTTCTTACCGCGCGGGGCCCGGCCTTTGTCCAGAAGGCTCTTCCCCCAACCCCTTCTGTCTCGCCGGCTCCCCGAGTCCTTATTGCGTGGGCTGAGGGGCCTGGCTCATGGAACAGGGTAGCTGTGGAGGGCCACTAGCCACGGGGCTGGAGCTGGGATGGAAGGGGGGTCATGCTACGTGGGAGGTGGGGCGGGTGCCCCCCAGCCCTGGCCTGTCGCATCTTGAGGAGCTGCTGTTCTTTCTGGGCCTGTGCTCAGCACCACCAGCTCTCCTTTCTGTTGTGGAGGGGACAGAGGGGCCTGGCTCATGGAACAGGGTAGCTGTGGAGGGCCACTAGCCACGGGGCTGGAGCTGGGATGGAAGGGGGGTCATGCTACGTGGGAGGTGGGGCGGGTGCCCCCCAGCCCTGGCCTGTCGCATCTTGAGGAGCTGCTGTTCTTTCTGGGCCTGTGCTCAGCACCACCAGCTCTCCTTTCTGTTGTGGAGGGGACAGGCC